GCTTCTGGGTGGGGCTATAGGAGTGGAGTTGTCGGGCCCAGGTGGAGCTCTGGGTGTCAGACATGCGAAAAACCTGAAAAGGTATCTCAAAAGGCCAATCTACAATAGTGATGTTATGTGTAGGACATATCTGGTGACCAGTCTACAGCTTAGCAGGATTCAGTTGCCTCTCCTTCCCTGATGGCTTTTCATTAACTTTACAAAGGTGGTTGAGTTTTGGGGAAGGTTTCTTATTTAAGCTATTAACTAAATGTTTCCCAAAGTTAGTTTAGCTTAAGCATGGGAATGATTAAGGGAAAGACAAGATGGGGGAGCATGGGCTAGATAAGATCTCTTACTGCCATATTTTTTTTCACTGTTATAATTTTTCCAAAGGCAGTATCATTGACATTAGCAGACTTGTGTTTTAGGGTGATATCTTTGACTGTCGAAGTGGAGGACAGGTTGAATCAATGAGTTGGGGTAAGATGAACGCCAGAAGCAGGATAAGTTGAATTAGCTGTGATTGCTGCTTTCTTCTCTGGGATGCTCCTTTCCATCTTTAGGGACCTTGCCTGTAGTACTTGCCGTAGCACCAGGCAAACAGAAGGCATTTTACATCATGTGTTGCTTAGCTCCACTGCTGTGGCTTGTGCTAATAGTGACTGGACACTTATTTGAAAGTAAAGTGAGTATCCTTTTCCTGTGGTCACAAACCAGGCAAAATTGCTTTCTTGGTTAGAAGTGACATGGAAGACATGTGCGCGCGCACACACACACACACACACACACACATGTATACACACAGACATATATACACACATGTATACACGCGCGCGTGCACACACACACACAGACACACACACACACACGGCAGAGTCTCACTCAGTTGCCCAGGTTGGAGTACAGTGGTGCCATCTTGGCTCACTATGGCCTCCACCTCCCGGGTTTAAGCAATTCTCTTGCCTCAGCTTCCTGAGTAGTACATGTGTGAGCCACCTCACCTAGCCAGAAGATATGTTTTGTTTGACTTGTCTCAAGATGTTTCCATAGGCATTTTCCATTTTGTCAAGTCTTTGTTCCAGAATTGATAGTGGGTACCTTTAGGGCAGGAAACATATTTTTATTCATTTTGTAGTCCCTGGTCTTATTACAACACATGATACATACTAGGCAATGATAGATATTTGTTTCATGAATTTGAGATTCATTGTTTTGGATTTGAAATGTATTTTGGCCAGGCATGGTGGCTTATGCCTGTAATCCCAGCACTTTGGGAAGCCAAGGCGGATGGATCCCATGAGATCAGGAGTTCGAGACCAGCCTGACCAACATGGAGAAACCCTGTCTCTACTAAAAATAAAAAATCAGCCAGGCATGGTGGCTCAAGCCTGTAATCCAAGCACTTTGGAGGCCAAGGCAGGCGGATCACCTGAGGTTGGGAGTTCAAGACCAGCCTGACCAACACGGTGAAACCCTGTCTTTAATTAAAAAAACAAAAACAAAAAACGAGCCGGACGTGGTGGCACATACCTGTAATCCCAGCTACTCGGGAGGCTGAGGCAGGAGAATCTCTTGAACCCGGGAAGCGGAGGTTGCAGTGAGCCGAGATTGCGCCATTGCACTCTGGCCTGGGCAACAAGAGCAAAAAAACTCCGTCTCAAAAAAAAAAAAAAAAAGGAAATATATTTCATGAAATATGCTGTAAATGTTGATTAGGTGCTCAGATTCCCCCTTAAAATCTTTTAAATCTAGAGCCTAATAGGGGTGCTGGGCATATCTAAGGCTTGAGAAGGAGGAAAAGGGAGGAATTAGCAGAATGGAAATAAGTTACTTCTCAGAAGTATTTAACAGTTGAACTGAAACAGTTTCAGAAAGATTCTGGGCCAGAGGGTTTTAGTAAGACTTATTGGGGAGATTAGGAAGTTCTGAATTCCTTTTGCTACCTACTGTTATACAAATGGTTTTTGTCCTTCCTCATGTACTTTAAACTACGTTTGGCTGGCCCAGTGGCTTATGCCTGTAATCCCAACACTTTGGAAGGCCAAGGTAGGAAGGATTGCTTGAGGCCAGGAGTTCAAGAGCAGCCTGGGCAACATAGCAAGATCCCCATCAAAAAATTAGACAGGTGTGGTGGCATGCATCTATTGACCCAGCTACTTGGGAGGCTGAGGTGAGAGGATCACTTGAGCCCAGGAGGTCAAGGCTGAGTGAGACATGATTGTGCCACTGCTCTCCAGCCTAGGTGACAGAGTGAGACCGTGTCTCTGGAAAAAAAAAAGGAATAAAATTGGCAGGTGCAGTGACCCATGCCTGTAATCCCAGCACATTGGGAGGCTAAGGTGGGAGGATCACTTGAGCCCAGGAGTTTGAGAGCAACCCGAGCAATGTAGTGAGACCTTGTCTGTACAAAAAATAAACAAAATTACCTGGGCCTGGTGGCGCACACCTATAGTTCCAGCTACTTGAGAGGCTGAGGTAGGAGGATCACTTGTGATCCCAGGAGGTTGAGGCTGCAGTGAGCTGAGATCATACCACTACACTCCAGCCTGGGCAACAGAGTGAGACCCCATCTAAATATAAATAAATAGATGGCAGTTAAACTAGATGACTTGCCATGGTTTCCTGATTCTTTGTCTTTTTACGTTTCCTTTCTTTGTTAGGAATGTTTCCTCCTTTATGCCATTATTACCATCCTTCAGTGCCCTGCTGAAATGCTTTTCACGAAATCCTATGGAGAAAATATCTCTCCCTACCCAAGTCATCTCAATTTTTAGACCCCCTTGTGGTACTTAATGCTCTCTACCTAGAATTATATATGGGTTGTCATTCTTACTCACACTAGAAGGAAGGAATCATCTGTAATTTAGCTATGAGTATTCCAGAATATCTAGCACAGGTCTTTGTAAATGCTGAATAGACGATGTGGCTGAGCTATATTACTATATTAGTGTTCTGGTTACTTTTACTTGTCAACCTAGCTGGACTATGACATGCCCCAATATTTGGTCAGATATTATTCTGGGAATTTCTTTTCTTTTTTCTTTTTTCTGAGATGGAGTCTTGCTCTGTTACCCAGGCTGGAGTGCAGTGGTGCCATCTCAGCTCATAGCAATCTCCACCTCCCAGGTTCAAGCAATTCTTCTGCCTCAGCCTCTTGAGTAGCTGGGATTACAGACTCATGCCTCCACGCCTGGCTAATTTTTGTATCTTTAGTAGAGATGGGGTTTCACCATGTTGGCCAGGCTGGTCTCGAACTCCTGACCTCATGATCCACCTGCCTTGTCCTCCCAAAGTGCTGGGATTACAGGCGTGAACCACTGTTCCCAGCCTATTCTGTGTATTTCTGTGAAGATATTTTTGTATAAGATTAACATTTAAATTGATAGATTGAATAAAGTAGGTTGCTTTCCCTAATATGGGTAGGCCTCATTCAATCGGTTGAAGGCCTGAATAGGGCAAAAAGACTTATTCTCCCTTGAGTAAAGGAATTCCTCCTGCCTGACCACTTTCAGACTGGTATATTGTTTTTTTCTGTTTCCAGACTCAAACGGAATCATCAGTTCATCTTGGGTCTTGAGCCTTGCAGGCCTTTGGACGAAACTATACCACTGGCTCTCTTGGGTCTCTAGCTTTCCAGCTCACCTTGAAGATCTTGGGATGTGTCAGCCTTCATAATTGCGTGAGACAGTACTTTATAATATTTATGAAGGTCTTTTTATGTACAAACACACACACATCTTGTTGGTTCTGCTTCTCTGGAGAACCCTACTACTCTTGGGTTCTAAATTGTAGAAATATCCCAGGAAAGGGAAAAGAGTTTTATTTACCATTCCTGGCATGGGATTTACATGAGGCACACTTTAAAAATGATGCTTACCTTTGATATCTTTTCATCTCTCGAACCCTTTTTATGAACTCTTCTCCCTCTCCTAAGATTTAAACCATATAGGACTTTGATGCTACCTTTAACCCTCAACTTTAATATCGGATCCAGGCTATCTTGTCCCTCATTTATGGCCCAAATTTCCCCTGCTTTTGAGACATTTTCCCAACCCTACCCCATTAAAGCTCCCAACTCAGTGTGTTAGATGGAAGCTAGGTGGTCGGGGAAAAGCAGCTTGTACAAGTGATTCATGTATGGCTGAAAGCACTGTAATCTTCTCAGAATCATTTGCTAAATGAATTGAATGAAATACTATGTAGTTTAATAAAATGGGATGAAAATTTTAGGGGAGTTAGTCAACCCTACCTGGAGTCAGTCCTATGGTTAGCATTCCGATGCGCTTACTGCTTTGACAGATTATTCCCTTTTCCATCTTTGAAACCACAGTTTCTCCCAAAACATTAACAAACAAGCACTCCCACGGAAGTAGCAATGGAGATTCTACTGCTAATATAAGAAGAGAGAAAGAAGGAAACGATTTGCAGTCTCCAGTGGATTTTTATAAGTTTGCAACTATTTATAGTTTAGAAAGTCCAATTTTAAAAGAATATGGTTTGTTTAAAAGATGATGAGAGAATCAGTAGTTTTATTTTATTGTTTTTGAGACGGAGTCTCGCTGTGTTGCCAGGCTGGAGTGCAGTGGCGTGATCTCAGCTCACTGCAACCACCAACTCCCTGGTGTAAGGGACTCTCCTGCCTCAGCCTCCCAAGTAGCTGGGATCACAGGCACGCACCACCATGCCCAGCTAATTTTTGTATTTTTAGTAGAGATGGGGTTTCACCATGTTGGCCAGGATGGTCTTGATCTCCTGACCTTGTGATCCGCCTGCTTTGGCCTCCCAAAGTGCTGGGGTAACAGGGATGAGCCACTGTGCCCAGCCAGTAGTTTTATATGATATGTTGTCACAAACAGAGAAAAGACCTGGTTGTAGGAGAGCAGATTTGAATGTGGTATGGGAGCCACTGTGTTTGAAATGTTTGTAAGTCAAGTCTGTCATGAAGCTGGTCTGGCTTAAAATACTTAGCATCTATCTTATCTTCAGCTAGCCCTTCCCTTCCAGATTTTGAAACCAGCTCAGTTGTCCCATAGGACTAATATTTATAGTTTTTTTTTGATAAACATAGAAATTGGCCTTCTTAAAACTTTAAACTTACATTTGTCTCCTCTGAGTTCCTTCCTCAGGAAACCTACCCTTAGGCAAGAAACTGAAACTCATCAGATTCTCACACCCAGAGACTGAGATAACAGACTCCTCATCCATCATGACTACTTCCCTCCCTCTTCCTAATTCCTGTTTTCCCACCTTCCCTGCTATATAAACTCCCCAATTTTGGTCGCTCAGAGAGACGGATTTGAGACTTTATCTCTTGTTGTCCTTCAGTGCACACCCACTGCAGCACCTGATTCACACCTTCCTTCCTGGCAATAGTTGTTGACCCAGTGACTGGCATTCTGTGAGGCAAACCACAGGACTAGGCTGAATGCCTGATATTTCAGTAATAATTTCCTGTGAGAAGGAAGGAAGTAGTTAGAAGAAAGAGCATGATCATAATAGAAAACTAAAAACTCCTGCATCTATTTCAATATTTTAATTTTTAAATATATTTAAACCTGTCTTGTATTAGAAATATTCCTTTTTTGAACTCTACTTCTCTTGCTGGCTTCTACCGTATCACTCTCTTCTTTTTTAATAAACTAACATTTATTTATTTATTATTATTATTGTTTTGAGATGGAGCCTTGCTGGAGTGCAGTGGCACAATCCCACTCACTGTAACCTCACTTCCCAGGTCCAAGCGATTCGCCTGCCTCAGCCTCCCTAGTAGCTGGGACTACAGGCACGTACCACCACGATCGGCTGATTTTTGTATTTTTAGTAGAGACGGGGTTTCTCTATGTTGGCCATGCTGGTCTCGAATTTCTCACCTCAGGTGATCAGCCGGCCTCAGGCTCCCAGAGTAATGGAATTATAGGTGTGAACCACCGTGCCTGGCCTAAACTAACACTTAAAAAGAGTTGATAGTTATTATCTCCATTTACTTGTCTCCCATTTTCTCCTTTTTTTTTTCCATTTATTTATGTCATTGCATTTTAGGTTTTGGGGTACATGTGAAGAGCATGCAAGATTGTTACATATGTACACACGTGGCAGTGTGATTTGCTGCCTTCCTCCCCATCACCTACATCTGGCATCTCTCTCCTTGCTATCTCTCCCCAATTCCCCACCCCCCACCGTCCCTCCCCTATTTCCCCCCAACTGACCCCAGTGTGTAGTGCTCCCCTCCCTGTGTCCATGTGTTCTCATTGTTCAACACCCGCCTATGAGTGAGAACATGCGGTGTTTGATCTTCTGCTCTTTTGTCAGTTTGCTGAGAATGATGGTTTCCAGGTTCATCCGTGTCCCTACAAAGGACACTCATTGCAGCACTGTTAACAATAGCAAAGACCTGGAACCAACCCAAATGCCCATCGATGATAGACTGGACAGGGAAAATGTGGCACATATACACATGGAATATTATGCAGCCATCAAAAACGATGAATTTGTCTCCCATTTACTCCTAAGCATCCTGGAGTAGATTTATTCCTGTTTTGAAACCAAAACTACTCTTACCACGGTCACCAATGATGACACTTGAAAAATAGAGTGACCCCTTCTCACCCTTGTTTTATTTGGTGTTGCAGTACACTTACCACACTGTTCACCAGTGCTTTGCTTTGGGGCTGCTGCCCTGGCCCTCACTCTGTCGGCTTCTCTTCTGCCTCCCTTGCCATTCGTTTCGAGTTGTCCTTACCACATTCTTGATGTGTCCATTCCTTAAATGTCAGTGGTTCTTAGGGATCTGTCCTTATGTCCTCTCTCTCTCTCTCTCTATGCATGTTCCCTCTGTGACTTCAGTTATAAATGATAACTGATGAATGGCCCATCTCTCTCTTTCTCTCTCTCTTTACATGGAGATGGGGTCTTACTCTATAGCCCAGGCTAGAGTGCAGTGGTGTGATCATAGCTTACTATAATTTTGAACTCCTGGGCTCAAGCAGTCCTTCCACCTTAGCATCCCAAAGTGCTGGGATTATAAGTGAGCCACTGTGCCCAGCTAATTAAAAACTTTTTTTTTTTTGGTAGAGATTGGGTCTTGCTGTGTTGCACAGGCTGATCTTGAACTCCTGGCTTTGAGCTATTCAGCCACCTAAGCCTTTCAAGGTGCTGGGGTTACAGGTGTGAGCCATTGTGCCTGTCTTCCATCTCTCTCTCTCTCTCTCTCTCTCTCTCTCTCTCTCTCCCTCTCCCCCACCCTCTCTCTCTCCCCCTCTCCTCCTCTCCCCTTCTCCCACTC